TGTACAATTAAGACACATTTTTCCACTTCCACCTTCGCCTCTCTCGATCGCCTCTTTCTGCCGTTTCTCTTTCCTGACCTAGGCGCGTTTGACTGCGCTGCTGATTTTATCACCCACCTGTGCGCGCTAGACGTCAGCTACCGTGCTGTTTGTACGGAGGCTCATCTTGCATTGCTCCCCCCGCCCATGGTGATCACTATTCACTTCATCGCCACTAGCCTCCTTGACCGCCTTGCACCTGTCCGTGATGAGCTTCTTCGGAAGCACCCTTAGTTAGCTCACCATCGATGTCCTTGGGACTGCTCTCAAGGACATCGAGAGCAACATCCGCTCCGTTGCCTCTGCCTCTAGCACCGTAGTTCCCTCGCTCTTTCGGGGGTGCATTGTCCCACAGCTTCCCACCTTCACTGCTTCTCTTGCCTCTACTACGTCTCCTTCTACTATGGAGACCGTGGACGTGTCCACTGTGGGTGGGCGGTCCGGTGGTAAGGGAGGTAAGAGGGGGGAAGGGTGGTGGTGCTGGTGGTGGTGGTGGCGGGGGTGGCAGAGGACCTAGTGATACTAGTGCGTCTGGCGGAGGCGACACCAGGGAGCAGCCCTGCGCCTGTAGGCCCAACGGGAGGGGGTGCTGGTGCAGCTGCATGGTACATGGCACAGTGGCAGCATCAATACCAGCAGCAGCAACCACAGCCAGAACAACCGCAGCAGGAGGGACAGCCGCAGCAGCGGGTTCAGCGGCAGGTGCAGCAACAGCCTCAGCAGTGGGTACCTGGTGGACCAAGGAGCGCAAGTTATGGCGGTGGTCCGCCCAGCTTGGCATCACGTGGTGTCACTCCGCCTCCCTGCCCGTACGTGTTCCAGTCGTGCGGGTCTCCGCTGTGGCCATTTCTACGCTCCGAAGTCCCCACAGCAGAATGGGGTTGTTGAGTGTCATAGGCTTGGTCATGGAGATCGCTCGCACCTCCATAATACATGCCCGTGCACCCCATTTTCCGTGGCCCAACACGGTTTGCTACGCCGCCCACCGGTTGAACCTCGGGTCTCGTGTCTCCCGGCCAGGGGCTTCACCGACCGGTTTTTGGACCAAGTCCCCTACTGTTGATTCGGTGTTTCGTGTATGGGGCTGCCTTGCGCTTGTCCGTGACACCTCTGCGAACAAGCTCTTGGCTCGTGCCATCCCCTGTGTCTTCCTTGGTTTCCCGGTAGGCTCCTCTCACTACACCTTTTACTGCCTGCCCCTCCACTGGTTCCTTGACTCTCATGTCGTCACCTTCGAGGAGTCCGTGTCCTACTACGCCCTCTACCCCTCTCAATGTCTTCCGTTTCCCTCCCCCCCTCCACTCTTCCTTGCCCCCTCTTCTCCTCCTTCTCCCGCTCCCCTTGTACACCCGCCCCCTGGGTTGTGCCCCATCTGGTGTATCCCACGCTACCCCTCTTCCCTCGGTAGCACGTCAAGTATCGTCTCCTTCCCAACAATCGTCCTCACAGTCACCGCAGCAGCCTTCGGCACTACCGCGACATGTTGTAGTAGACTCCGGGGGTGTTGGTGTTGGGGGCACGGGCGCTGGCGGTGCTAGCTCTCATGGTGCTGGAGCTCAGGGTGTTGGCGCTTGAGGTGCTAATTCTGGAGGTGCTCGCGCTGAGGGTGCTGGCCATGGCAGTGCTAATTTTGGGGGTGCTCGTTTTGGGGACACTAGTTCTGGGGGTGCTGAAGCTGGAGGTGCTAGTTCTGAGGAGACTAGAGCTGGAGACAGTGCTACTGCGGCGCCGACCCCACCTCTCCACCGCTACCCGACGAGTTTCCAGAGACTTCGTCAGCTGGAGCACGAGGAGTGGGAGCGATTGGAGCAAGAGAGGCTGGAGCTGGAGCGGTAGCCGCAGGAGCTGCAGCAGCTGCTGCTACTGGTGCCGCCCTTGCAGACCTGTGAGTGGTCTTCAGGCCCTTGGCCTTCCTTCCCCTCCTCCAAACCGCTCACTTTCTCCTGCTTACGGTCCTATGTTTCTCACCCCGGACCCATCTGTGATTTTTTTCTCTCCTCCTCGGTCACCGTCGTCTCCTCTTGTTGTCCCAACGACTAGACAGCTCGTTGTCCCGCTCGTGCACAACCCTCGTCTCATTTTGACGACCTCTGCACCGTCTTACTTCGTTTAAGTGCTCGTCATTCTCCACCTCGGTCTGTTCTCCCGTCACCTCCTGGGTCATCTCTTACTGCCTCCACCTCTACCCCTATCACTGACTATTACCGTGCCTCTTGTCCTGTTATCACTCATGTTCTTGCGTCTCTGGTCACGGACCCTCATGCCTCTCTGTCGTCTTTCTCGGCTCTTACTGCCACTGTCTCTGACTTTGCCGCCAATCGCCGCCTTGACTACGCCACCCGTGTGGTAGCTGCCCGTCCTCTGTCCGCCAGAGGTGAGTCTTCCCTTGGCTGTGACGTCCTAGAGGATAGGCAATTTGAGCTAGAGTTCTTGGCAGCCGCTTCTCCCCATCTCTGTCCATCCTGCTAGCTCCTGAGGGAGACCCCAACGCCTTTGACATACCGAATCTTTACACGTACCATGAGGCAGTGTCAGGCCAATGGGCTTCTTAGTGAATAGCGGCCATGGACTCGGAGATGGCGTCTTGGAGATCTACAAGCACTTACGTCGACGTAGTTCCCCCACTTGGTACGAACGTAGTCGATGGCATGTGGATCGTCAATGTGAAGCGGCCTGGATCACCGCCTGTCTTCAAGGCGCGGTACGTGGCTAGAGGTTTTAGTCAGCGTGAGGGAGTTGACGTCTACCAGACCTTCGCCCCGACCTTGAAGAGGACTACTCTTCGGGTGTTACTTCACGTAACAGCACATTGAGACTACGAGTTGCACTCCCTCGACTTCTCCACGTCCTTTCTCCAGGGCCGCCTATACGAGCATATCTGGCTGGGCCACCCTCCTGGCTTCATTGGCAATTTCCTGCCTATGACCCAGTGGAGCCTGAGGTGACCAGTCTACGGTCTCCGCTAGGCGCCCCGTGAGTGGCACGACACGCTGCACACCACTCTTGCTACCCTTGGGTTTGGTCCTTCGTTCGCCGACCCGTCGCTGTTCGTTCGTTCTGGGTCCACACATTTCTTCGTCCTCATCTACGAAAACGACTTCGTCTTTGCTACAAAAGACAGGGCCGCCCTGGCTGAGGTGAAGTTCGAACTGCAGAAAAGACACACGTGCACTAACCTTGGTGAGCTGCGCCGCTACTTTGCCTTGTAAGACACTAGGAAAAGAGCCGCTCGCACCATCACACTCTCACAGTCACACAAGGTGCAACAGGTCCTTCAACGGTTAGGGCTTCATTTCTCCACCATACAGCCCACTCCTCTCGCCGTTGATCACACACTCACCGGCCCTTTTTCCGACGAGCCCTTTGAGTCTAGTGGCCCCTACATAAGGTTGTGGGCTGCCTCATGTACCTGATAAGTACTCGTCCGGACCTCACCTTTTCCCTCAACGTCCTCTCTCGCTTTGTAGCGACTGGGAGACACAGTCTTGTTCACTGGACAGCTCCTGTGAGGGTGGCGAAGTACCTGGCGATTACATCGGGCATGGGGCTTGTGCTTGGAGGGCCACAGCCAGTTGTGCTGACCAGTCACTGCGACTCTTCCTACACCATCAATGTGGAGACACAGAGGTCTTCTTAGGGGTATGGCTTCAGCTTTGGCACCGAAGCTGTGTCAAGGAGGTCCACTCGCTTGTCGTCTATGGCATAGTCTAGCGCAGACGCAGAGATCTACATTAGTGCCATGGCTGCGCAGGAGCTTCGCTGGTCGACCTTTATTATCACCGACCTTGGTGAGCGGCCGAGCTCTGCACCGACCTTGTTCAATGACATCAAGGCCATGATCCTCCTATGTCGAGAGCCTCAACTGGAGAGCAGAGTGAAGCATATCGACGTCATGTACTTTCTTCCACGAGAGCTGCAGTGACGCGGCCAGGCACGTTTGGACTTGCTGACCTCAGCGGCCAACAGTGCAGACGTCTTCACCAAGGCACTTCCGCTTGGTGATCACCACAGGTTATGTCTGTAACTAGGCCTTGTTGAGGCAGACCCTCGGTTACTGCAGTCTTGCCTCTTGTTTCTTGCTCTGCTTGTTCTTGCCTTTATATATGCTTGTGAACCCTTGAACTGGCCTTGTGGCCGTTTGGTTGTGCTCAGACTGCTTTATGACTTTGTGATCTACCCTGAGCTTTGTCTTGCTGGACTGGCCTTGTGACGGTTTGTTTACTCTGCTTGCTTTGATGCCCCTCACTTAGCCTATGGGGGGTGTGTCAAACTATGTTTGTATTGTTAGATATGCTCTAGTACCGGTAAGTTGCATGTTATGGGGTGCAAAACTTATCTCGACACTTTGCTTGTATCCCCCCCCCCTTTGACCTAATCATCACCATTCTCTTTAGTTCCTAAGCCCTTTAGTTCTAAGAATTACAACTACCAACTTTGCCTGTAATGTTCTCTTATGCCTTCACTCACATTTGCATTCTTGGACCTAGATGAGCATCTCTTGGCTTGCACAATTGCAAACACTAGGACCAGTATGAAGTGTAAGTTTGTGTACCAGTATCGCGGTCTCACACAGGGGAGTGCTGTCCTTCTACAGCCAGCATCAGGCAATCCAGATCGCGGAAATGGTTTCGCTGGTGTCGAGTATTGCAAGGCACCAGCTGAAAAAAAGGCTCCACTCCACGTTGTCAACGATCCAGAATCTGAAAGCTGCGCTTCGCAAGCTCGGATCCTCACGCCTCCCCAACTCAAATCAGGTGTCGGTCAGATCGTTTGTTGTTGTACTGCAAAGTTACCAGTTTTTGCTCGAATATCTTTTAGGCGTACGTGACGCGATGGCGGAACCGAGCCAGGATGGCACTCTACTCGGCATGCTCTCCAGAGGTTTCCAGAAGTGGGTGTCGTTGCCTTCCGTGGTGGCCGTTTTTGTCAACTGGCATGATGAGCGTCTTTGCATGCGACAGGTTGCTTGGGACTGAGAATTTGGAAATCGTAAATCCGGAAGGAGGGAAGGAAGATGTCTTGGATGAAGCTGCCAAAGGAAGATTCAGCAACCAGGTGGGGTTCATGACCAGTGCTGCCAGCCTTCGGAGAAAGAATCTTTGCTGCTGACGCTGCTGTTAACTGGTGCAGGAAAAAGAAGGTTATTTCAAACAAGCTCAGAAGTACATTGGCGCTGACGTCACTTCACTTGTCACGCTTCCTGTCATTATTTTTGAGCCCATGACAATGCTTCAAAAGATGTGCGAGGTGAGTCTCCGTCGAAGCTTTATTGTACGAGCTGCCGTCGCTGTGGTTTGACCTGCGATGCTCTTGTATTGCAGCTCATGGAGTACACTGATCTACTCAACAAAGCGGACAGCACAGACGACCCCAACATGAGGATGGTCTACACAGGTATGAGCCTTTGTCGGATCTCATCTCTTCGCTGGTTCCGTTTTGTGTGTTCTGATATCGAGCGCGTTTGCAGCGGCGTGGGCGGTCTCTCCATATGTGGCATTCTCAAGGACATGGAAGCCCTTCAACCCTATTCTCGGCGAGACATTTGAATTCTCGAACCACAATGGCATCACTTTTGTAAACGAGCAGGTAGTTTTTACATTCTTCAAGGGTTGGCGTGTTGATAAAACTGCTTCTCATTTCCCATAGTTCCATGCAGGTGAGTCATCATCCGCCTATTTGTGCCGGGCATGGGGAGAATGAGCACTTCGTCTACGACTGCACCTCAAAGGTCAAGACAAAATTTCTTGGGAATTCAGTGGAGGTTTATCCTTTAGGAAGGTACGCATTCAATAAAAGGTCATTGTCACCCACATGTCAGGTAGCTACCTCAAAATCCTAACTTGCTTAATTGCGCTGCTTGCAGGACGAGGGTGAAGTTAAAGAGGTCCGGTCATGTGTTTGACTTGGTTCCTCCACCTACTAAGGTTCAGAATATCATTTTTGGCCGCACGTGGGTGGATTCACCTGGTGATATGGTGCTTACAAACACTGCAACGGGAGAAAAGGTCGTTCTTTACTTTCAGCCGTGCGGCTGGTTTGGGTGAGTATTTTATCATACCCCAGGACATAAGTCACGCTGTGTGTTTTGGCTGGTTCTGTGATAAATTGCATCTTGTAGCCCGCATCAGTGTTCCGGGATCTGATGCGTTGTTGTCCTTTCGAATGATAACTAAAACAGCTCTTTTGCTTCATCACTTGTTGAGGACTTGCGCATTGCTGTTAACTTCCATTGCAATGCGTAGGGCTGGGCGCTACGAAGTGGATGGATACGTCTATGATTCTTCCGAAGAACCTAAGATGCTCATCACTGGCAAGTGGAACGAGTCATTGAGCTACCAACCATGCGATCATGAAGGAGAGCCATTGGAGGGATCCACACTGACTGAGGTATGGTCTTCAGGTTGTGTGCATGTTGAATATGCGTTCGTAAGCTTACTCTTTTGTATTTTATCTTGGTTACTGCAGGTTTGGCGACTTACCGACTTGCCTGAGGACGATAAGTTCCAGTTTACTCACTTTGCGAGAAAACTTAACAGTTTCGAAACTGCACCTCCAAGTCTGCTGCCATCTGATTCCCGCCTACGTCCTGATCGCAAAGCATTGGAAGAGGGGGACCTTAACCAGTCAGCATCAGAAAAGTACAGGTTAGTTTTGGCGAAGATCTGCTGCCATCAGAATTCGTGCATCGATTATGTCCAAAGGCTCAGCAAGTGCTGTTTAAATGAATCTGCAGGCTGGAAGAGCACCAACGTGCAGAGAAACGTGAGAGAGAACAGCGAAAGGATGCTTTTGTCCCCAAATGGTTTCGTTCGTCTGGGGAGACAGCTGTCACACCATGGGGAGATCTTGAAGTTTACGAGTTCACTGGACTGTATGATGAGAGGAAGTCAGCTGCTTCCGAAACTCCTGTTGAGGATGTTCCCAAGCAGGAGTTTAGTCCATGGCAGTATCCGGAGCTGAAGGTTGAGGTACAAGATTCTCCTGTGCCGACTGGAGTTGTTGCTCTCTAGGATATGTTACTCTTTTTTATGCCAGGACGATTTTTATGGATTCATATGATATGAATGTTACTCCTTCCCTCTTCCCTTCCTGATTATGTACCGTCATCGCCCGGATATAAGACAGTGTCGAATTGAAGACATGGGGTGTCGCTAAAACGGGTGTTTCTTATAGATGGGTGTTCCTGATTATAAGACAACTGTCGGTGTGTACAAGTTAAGCCAGTATAGGGATTAGGGGCAATCTTATGACTAGGGGGTATCTTCTAAACGGTTTTTTGTCCATTTATAAGAATTATAAGACACCCTAAACTGTCCCAATTACAAGACACAGCAAGCTTTTTTTCTAATGTATAAGATAAGACATATATGTCTTCTATCCGGGCGATGACGGTATTTCCATGTGTCCCTCTAAAGCCCGTAAAGGAAATAAATGCACGTGTGTGCACATGCTACAACTATTGTATGGCTCTATGGCTCCATTGTTGTTTCATTAGCAATTAATTCTGTCCCACATCATCTGCTTTCGAAATGTGGTCAGTACACTTAGTCTACACCTGTTCGTGTAAAGCAAGTCCAGTGTACATGCAGGTCACAAGTCTGTCTTGTTCTCTGTCTTCCTCTCCTACCAGTAATAATTCACTTGATTTCAAACCATTTCTATGCAACCCAGAAATGATGCTGCTGTACTTCAATAATGACTTCAAGATTGATTGATGCCAACACAGGGATTTTTTTTTTTTTTTTAGTATGTCCACATCATATTTTCAGAAAAGCTTGGGAAACTGGAAGAACGGTTTTGGCTCCTCGTATTGGGCCTCCAACACCGCAATTGTCTCGTCGATGTGCTTCTCTGGTTGAAACTGGTTATTGAAAATGAGCTGCAGTAAGCAAACGGGTATGCAAATGTCAGAACGGATAATAGTGCCGAAGAAAATAATGACTCGTTTGCAGCGACTTACCTGCACGACGCCCTTCTTGTCGATCACATAGGTTTGACGCCCAGGAAGAACCCCAAACAAATCACTGGGGACGCCCCACTCCTTGCGCACAGCGTTGCCCTCGTCAGACAAAAGAGTGAAGGGTAGGCTGTACTTCTCGGCGAACAGCTGCAAGATAAGAAGAGCGTGATAAGAGCGTTAGTAATTGGCACTGGATGTCAATCCTCCTGGAAGCAATTCACCATATTATCAGCAAGCACCTTGTGAGACTCGGGGGAATCGCCGCTGATTCCTACAACTTCAGCACCTAATTTGCGGAATTCCTCAAAGGAGTCCCGGAACGAGCATGCCTGCAGCATCAATACGTGTGTTAGACAAAGATAGAGGGAATGGGCTACCCAACAGTGAGTTAGAAGAGCTGACGAAGCGTGAACATGCACCTGCTTGGTGCATCCAGGAGTGTCATCGGCGGGATAGAAATAAAGAACCACGCTCTTCTTCCCTTTAAGCTTGGCCAAGTCGAACACGCGACCATTCTGGTCTGCCAGGCTCAGAGGCGGGGCCTCGTTCCCAACGGAAACCTGAATTCATGCATAAAATGACAGCATCTTTCTTAGCAGCTGCGACTAGGACTGATTACATCATGCACGCGCAAATCGTGTGAAATCCGAACCTTGGCGACGACATTGTTAGACCGCTTAGAAACGAACGCTGAAGACTGCCGTTTGCTGACGGCCTTTAAATTGAGATTTCCGCCAACGAAAGAACCTGAGAGACTCGAAACGCCTTTCACAGATGGGAAGGCCTGCGCCACGAAGCTTCCCGAAGAAGGAACGACATTGCAAAGAGCAACGGAGCTAAGAGCAGCCATGACGAAATGACTCACTACAATTCAATGTGACTGGGAATAACTCGAGTAAGCCAGTCAACTGGCACAAGACTGATCAGTGGGAGATGGGGTAATGACTTAAGCACTTGCCTGGACGAGATTGAAAGAGCAGAGCAAGAGCGTTCCAGCCTTTTTGGAAAGCCACATATAATGGAACGCCACGTGTGGTTCATGATCGTTCAACTTCGCTAGCCAATTGTGCCCACTTTACAGTCCAGGGCCGTGGTTGTGGAGCGGAGGTGTACAAGATGAACATTCTGAAGCAGGAATCGTTTCTGCTTACAAGGCGAACCCAAAAGGCATCTCAATGTGAACTTTAATCTTTCCTAGCAGCAGTACCCGCAGAATATAGGACAGCATCCTGGTGGCAACAGAGAATTATATTGTTTTGGACCCTGAAAAAATGTGTTTTCCGACATCCATACTAGTATCACCGCTTTCTGCCGCCACCTGCCTTCCCCTTCGGTTGTCCCCTCCCATTGCCGGCAGGGCCCTTACCCTTCCTGCCCTTGCCTTTCCTGGCATTAGCCTTGTCAGCACGCATGTCCTTCTTCATGCGCCGGTCCACCATGATGCTGTTCTTCACGCCGCGCCCGCGGTTGCCCTGCTGCCCCTTCTTCGCCACTACCACGATCTTCTTGGGCGACCGCTCCGACGCCACCTTGCTGTAGGCGCGCTGCATGAGGCGCCCCTTGGACCGCTCGTTCAGGTCCGGCTGCTCCGAGATGGCCGTTGCCTTCTGCCGCGCCGCCTCCAGCTGCTTCATCAGCCGCCGCCGCTTCCTGCCCTTGGCCTCCGCCACCTGGAGAGGGGGAGAGGAGAGTCAGATGGAGGGACAGGCACAGGCGAAAGCTGGCAGGGACAGGTGCCCTCCCCTTGCTGCATTGTGGAGAAAAAAACACTCTACTGACTGGCTGCTTACCTTCTTGGTGGGGCGGGCGTTGATGGCGCGGAACTGCGCCTTGAGCTCGAGCACCTCGTCCTTGCTGATGGGCTTCAGTGGCACCATGTGCCGCCGCTCGTCGTCCGCAAACCACTTGGGCAGCGCCTTGGCGTCGTCGTCAAACATGTACCGGTTGTACGCGTCGTCCACCACCTCGTCTCGCTCTCGCTTTCTCAGCATGCGCCTCGCATACGCCAGCGTCTCCGCCTTGCTGTCACTGTCCCACTCCTCCTCCTCCTCCCCCATCGCCCCCCCTCCATGCCCCCCTGCAGCGCCCCCACCCCCCGCGCGTGCATGCCTGCCCCCCCTGTGCGCGCCATGTGCCCCCCCACGGCTGTCACTGTCGCTGTCAGAGCTGTCATCAGAACTGTCCCCATCGCTGCCACTCAGCCTCTCCTCCTGCACCACCTCAAACCCCGCCTCCTCCTCCTGCTTCCCTGCCCGCGCCCTCTTTCCCGTGCCTTTCTCGACGTCGTCCTCCCCTCCCGCCGCTGTGCCACGGAGCACAGCCGTCTCAGTTTGAGATTCCTTCACCTTGCCAGCTTTGCTCTTCCTTGCTGCCTCTCCGCCCCGCCCATCACCGACCACGCCCGTTACTCCTCCGTCATCAACGTCTGCCACCTCCCCTTCCTCCCCCTCCACTTCCCCCTCCTCTTCCCCCTCCTCCCTCTCCGCCACCATTTCACTAGCCTTCCTCACTTTCTTCTCTCCTCGCTGCTTCTCCTCCTTCCCTCCTTTTGCAGGCCCTTCACCTCCCTTCCTCCCAGCCGCGAGCGGCACTGCACCACCTTTCTTCGCCCCACCGCCTGCACCGCTCGCTTTCGTCCCGTCATGCGCCTCCTTCACCGCCTCCCCCGCCAGGTCGAGCCCCTCGAAGAGGTCCTGGGTGAACCACTGCGCCTGCACGCGCTCGCTCGCACTGCTCTCGCCCAGCCGCACCACCAGCGGGTTCTCCTCCTCCTCGCCCTCCTCCCCAATGTGCACCAGCGCCGCCTCCTCTCCCCCCTCTTCCCCCCCCTGCGCCCCGGCGACCTCCTCGCCGTCCTCCCCCTGGCCGTCCAGTGCCATGAGGCGAGCGCGGGCCTTGCGGCGCTTGCTGCTGGCGGTGGCCTTGCAGTAGTGCTCGTACGCCGTGTCAAAGTACGCCTCCAGCTCCGCGTCGTACCTGCCACACGTGGACAGAGGGCAGCGCGAAAGATGAGTCGCAAGTTAAGTTGGGGCAAGAGAAAATGAGTCGAGAAGCAGCTACAAATTGAGTCGTGAAGGGTGGGAGACTGGTGGAATGTGAGAGACATGGAGAAGCCGTGCAGATGGGAGTGCCTCACATGCCACCATGCCTCACATGCCACCATGCCTCACATGCCACCATGCCTCACATGCCACCATGCCTCACATGCCACCATGCCTCACATGCCACCATGCCTCACATGCCACCATGCCTCACATGCCACCATGCCTCACATGCCACCATGCCTCACATGCCACCATGCCTCACATGCCACCATGCCTCACATGCCACCATGCCTCACATGCCACCATGCCTCACATGCCGCCATGCCTCACATGCCGCCATGCCTCACATGCCACCATGCCTCACATGCCACCATGCTTCACATGCCACCATGCCTCACATGCCACCATGCCTCACCTCCTCTTCTCTGCATCGCTGTCATCATCTTCACTCCCCTCCCCCACCTCCTCCTCCTCCTCCTCCTCGTCACTCTCCTCTCTCTCCATCTCCGCCATCTCCTCTGCATCCGGTGCCTCCGTGTCATCCACGCCACTCAGCTGCTTGCGCTGCCGGCAGGAGACGGGGACATGGCGATGGGGAGAGACGGAGGGAGGGAATGAAAGGGGGTCAGTTGGAGGGAGAGGGGAGGCAAGCGAGGACGGGAAAAAAGAGTGATGTTAGAGCAACTGCGATTGGGCGTGGACAGACGGGTTAGAAAAATGGAAACTGGAAGCAGTGGATCGGGCGGAAGGGAGAGAGGAGGCAAGAAATGAGGGGGAGATTCTGTGAGCACAAGTGAATGAGAGAAATGAACGAGTGATGAAAGACAGCCCGCCGTGTGATGAAAGACAGCCAGCCGTGTGATGAAAGACAGCCAGCCGTGTGATGAAAGACAGCCAGCAGTGTGATGAAAGACAGCCAGCCGTGTGATGAAAGACAGCCAGCCGTGTGATGAAAGACAGCCCGCCGTGTGATGAAAGACAGCCAGCCGTGTGATGAAAGACAGCC